CAATGAGCATTCGAATGCCAAGTTATGAAGGCAATTTACTAGCCACTTCAAGGAGTAAGAAATGTATTTGGTATTCTTGTATTTATAATGTCATTTATGATCTAAACGACTAATAAAAATCAATATAGTGATTTGTCTTCTTTGTAGTTATCGAGTAGGTGTAATTTTTTAAACATTTTTGCTTTCCCCAATAAATGATTTATTAAAAATTACTTTAGCCACTACAAAGCTGTTAAGATCATAAATGATGTCATAAATGCAAGAATACCAAATATCTTCCTACAGTTTAAAGTGGTTGGCAAATTGCCTTCATAACACAATCTTTGAACTTTTATCAAAAAACACTGTTGTCTTAACCTTAAAACTGTTTATTTTTCATTACTATTATACTACAGTTTTTGTCGAATGAATGAATAACTTTGGAAAAGTTTATGGTTTCTTGATACCATAAGTTTAATTCCAACAGTAAGACAGAAGTTTAATAATGTTAATATGCATGATGATAAACAGTGATTGACAACTTAGCCAAATTAGTCTTCTCTAACAGATAATGAATATTGTTCTAATTTTTACAACTTATCCTCCTCCCTTATTCTTATTTTAAGCCAGTCTTTATTTGATGCCTATGGTCAAAATTCGTTATCTGAAAGAGTATTTGAACTGATTCTTTGTTTTAGTTTTAAAATATTTCATATGTAATTAATTCTTTTGGAATATTGAAGGTGGGACTTTGTGTTTTCATAAGGTAGTATGGACAATGGTTATGCTATTCAATGTGTCTGCTATTTAGAGATAAATATAATAGATGTCCTTTTGTACTTAAATTGTCTACAAGGACTTATTTATTACTAGGACTTATTATATCGGTGACTAGTTCTGCAAATTCAGAAAAAACAGTCTTTATTTTTCACCTGTTTTTTCTTAATTGTTTTCTTAATTTGCAGAACTAGTCACCAGTATAATAAGTCCTAGTAATAAATAAGTCCTTGTAGACAATTTAAGTACAAAACTATAAGATAAGAACACAAAGGCATAAAATTTGATAATAGATGTCCTATTTGAAGGGTATGGGGATTGTAAAAATGTCCATTAAGTAGAGGTATCTGCTATTTGGGAGTGTCTGTTAATGGAAGTTTCATGGTATATCTATTTAATATTAAAAAAGTAATAAAGTAACATTTTAACGAAGTTACTTTGTAGAATGTTATTCATAGGATAAAAATGAGAATGATTCATATCCAGAACTTTTATTTTTACATCAAAATTTTAAAATATATTAAATACGAATAATATAAATTAACAGTTTTGATTGAAAAACCTTAAATAGCAATATTTTAAAAGTTAGATTAAATTTTATCTTTTATAAAACTTTCAATATGAAGAAAACAAAAATATTAAAAAAAATCATTGTTTAATAAGGAAGTAATATTACAAATAAATATATTTGTAATTTCATTATTATATCTAAATGTTTAACATAATATTAATAAACTATTTTAAGTGCTTAATATAAGATACCATATTTTTTTAATAATTTGATTCTCATTTCTAATAATCTTATTACAGGTTATGAATATTTGTTTTTGTTTTAAATTCTTAACAGATACATTTTGTTTAGTTATTATTTGAAATATCTGTGAATTGATAAATTTGAATTATTAGAATATGATTTTCAGAAAATAGTCTTTTTATTGATATTACTACAATTAAATTCATTCAATTAATGTCCAATGAAATTTCTAATTAATAAATTAATTTTATAGATGTTTAAATAATATCTATATTATTTTTTAATATTATAATATTTATAAAAATGATTGTTATATAATGACTTTTAATATTTTATTTTCTCTGAATTAACAATCTAACACGTTAAATATTTGTAATATGCAGTAGATGAATGTTTCAATTCAATTTTTTTTCTTATGTCTACTTATGTTATAAATATTTATAACATCCTTTGGAATAAATGTCCTATGTTATTTTATGTTGATTTTTGATATATTGTATATATATAGGGCAATGCCACCAGTAGTCAACTATTTTATGCTGTTCTGGACTTGATATTTTTTATTACAATGCATAGCAACATAAAAATAACATTTGATGGCATGATCATTTATGGCAGTTGACAACTGGGTTTTCCTTCATTGAGAGCCTCACAAATGTGGCAACTGTGAAAGAATAAGCAAGTCAATAATAAGCATTTTATAGAGAACATGCACCTGAAACACACAGCCTTTATTATCTTCTAAAGACTTGACAATGACTCACTATATAGTCAATTACCAGAATGAGTGTTGTGCAATTATTTTTTCCATCACCATGAGTAAGGCAACTTGTTATTCTTATGTGTCATTGAGAATGAGGTTGTCTTAAGATATTTCTTGTAAAGTGATTTGCCTAATCCTGCTCAAATGGACTAAATTATGCATGGATTTCTGCTTACAAGATTGACTAAAGCCACCCCCACCCTATATATATATATATATATATAAACACAGACACGCACACATATACAAACAGTAGAACTTGGTTATAACAAACACAAATAGAACAAGTTTATGGTTGTAATGAGCAAAATACCATAACAATTTTAATTTAGATGTATTTCCATACATTTTCTCACAGTTATAAAAAGGGTACTTCACAGATATACTGAGCAAATTTTTGGTAGCTATGCAAACACATGAACATTCTTAATTGTTCAAGTAGTAATAAATGCAATACCAAATTCTTGGAAGAGATAACTGAAAGGGTTACTTAGTTTTATTGACCACTAGATAATTAGTTTTACAACCTACATCTATTACAGACGTATTTATCACTTAACTTTCTTTTTTGGAAGACTTCCCCTCTTTCTTGATTAGCTTAAGGCCCTTACTCTGCCAATTTACCTAATCATCACTACAATTGTAAAATTCCTGTATACTCTAGTTAGAAATGAACCCTTATATGAGAAAGATGTCTATGAAGAAAAGAAAATGTCTCTTGGTTTATGAAAAAGTAGAAATTATTTTTGGGTGAGAACATGATGCTAAAAATGTCAGTGTAGAAAGTTTTGTCATCTTTGACAGTATTGACATTATTGAAAAATAAAGCAATAATCAATTTTAAGATTTATAGATAAAAAGACTAACTGAAATCAGACATATTATTAATTAGTATCATCTTTAATTACAAAAAATAAATTATTTAATATTAATTATATTGTAGTTTATATAATTATTAATAAAAATACAGTATAATGTTATCACAAATCTTTTTTTAACCAACTTATTTAGAATTAAAAATTAAAAGATAGATTTCACTAATTATCAGTGGCATAACTACAAATTTTGCTGCTTGTGGGGTCCTCCTATGTGTTTGTACTCAGAGCTGCTGCCCATTCTCCCCCTAGTTACATCACTGCTCTTCATGGATATAACAAGGAAATCTTGCCAGTCCCCATTATAACAGAGTTCAACTGTGTATATATATATATATATATATTAAGAATTAAATAAACTGCTCTTTTCTTAGAAATGAAATGTAAAAATATATATATGTATATTTTTTTTACATTTCATTTCTAAGAACAATTGATTTAATTCTTAATTGCAGTCTATATCTTGGAATAAAAAAGTCATATTATCATGGCATCTAGATATTTGTTATTTTGGAATATATATAACAATCATTATAAAATACATTACAAATCATTACATATTAGATTTATGCATTCATAATCTGAAGAAATTTATAATGTTTCCATGTTTAATATTTTAAACTAACCTATGTATACACCTAAACATCACCTATATATGAAGCATGTCCCATGGAAATACAATCTTTTGTGATAACTTAAAATTATAAATTACATTATATTACATTAAAAAATTAAATAGCCATTTGTAAGTTATTTTTCTAAATAGTTGCTATTCTTTTCTAAACACTTTATGGCAAGAGACAAGGGCAATAATTCCTTTCTGAAAAAGTTTTCCATGTAATGATTTAAACAAGTTCATGGTTACATCTTTAATTTCATCTTCATCTGTGAAGTGTAAGCCACTAAGATGTTTCTTAAGAGATCCAAAAAAATAAAAATTAGAGGATGTTAAGTTCAGACTATGTAAAAGATGGTGCAATACTTCCCATCCATACTTTTTTAGCCAGTCTGAAGTATGACATGCAATGTGAGGTTGCATTATTGTACAGCAGGCCTATCATTGTGAGTACAGTCAGGACTTAGCATTCTCTAATTTTTATCTTTTTTGATCTCTTAAGAAACACATTAGTGGCTTACACTTTTCAGATGTTGATGAGTCAAACATTTAATCATGGATTTGTTCAAATCATTACATAGAGAATTTTTTCAGAAAAGAATGGCAACTATTTAGAAAAATAGCTTAGACTGTGTGAAATTCACCTTATCTACAGGGGAGAGTATAAATAACATGAAAAAATTATAATTAAGTAGAAAAAAATTTCTCTGCAAACTGAATGGCTATTTAATTTTTAAATGTAATTTGTTATTAAGTTGTCACAAAAGATTGTAAGATTGTATCATACTTTTGGGACATATATTACATACAAACACACTAACTATAATATACTGAAATAACTACTTAATATCCAAAAAACAAACCCTTGAATAATTACTGAAATTAGAAGTATGCATAAATGAAACATTTTTCAAGACTTTTCAGCTCAACTTTAAAAGTTCAGATTTTCATAAACTCTTCTAAATCCCTACATACTTCTAAATCTTATAATACCATGTTTGTACAGTCAGATGGCTGAAAGAGTTATATCAAATCTATATTTCAAGCATTTGCCTTTTGGATTATTTATTCTATTTAAAATTGAGTAATTTATATTAAAACTAAAACAGATTTTTCTGAAATAACTCAGTATTTAAGTACAATAAAAAAAATATATGAAATAAAATAGGCTCTTATCAGTAAATAAATACAGTTATAAAAAATAACTTTAGAAAAAATTATGGATTCAAAGTTTACCTTCATACTCTTCAAACATATAAACAGTATCACCAACAGTCAATCTGAGATGACATTTTCCTTCTTCATTAAAATTTGAAATGACTAAAAAGAAAAAAATATATATATATATTATGAATATTTAATATTACAAATTTTTACAAATATATCATTTGATGATATTTAATTTAATATATAATATATTAAAACTGACATCAAAAACACACTTTAAATAACCTTTAAAGTCCAATAACAAAATTTTTTAGTGTAAAAAATTTTTTACAAATGTTTTCAACATTATTCAAGATCTGCCTCAGGTCTTTAAATTACATTCCAATTGGAATGCTCAGAACAACTTTTCAAAATATTATTTTTTTAAAAGTTGGAACACAAACATAATGCTATGTAACACCAAAATTTAAATAGTGGTAAATATAAATTTTGTCAAAAATTTTTTACATTAAAAAATTTTGTTACTGGAATTTAAAGGTTATTTCAAGTGTGCTAGTGATTTGTCCCAGTATTGTGAAGAAGGTAATTTCGATATAAAAAACTGTTTTATATATATACTAGCTGCAAGGACCCACTTCACTGGGTTTTTATTTGTTCGTACATTTGTATGTAATATAGTTTGTTTATATATATAAAAGACTGTTTTTCTAAGTAATCTAGAATCTAGCTGCAAGGACCCGCTTCGCTGGGTTTTTAAAAAGTAACGATAGTGAAGATTAAGATAATTACATTATAGCCAATCTTACCTGTTTTCACTCACAGAATGCAAGAATTAGGTCCCCCGTTTCCAGACTAATTAGAGACCTGGTCCCGATTCTATTTCTGGACGTCTCCTGTTCACATCAAGTCAAACGAACTATTTTCAACGTTTGTGGAACGTTTACAATCGTTCTATAATCGAACCAATATTCGAATTTTATGTTCAAATTTAATTTGAATATTGTTCGAATTTGTTCGAATGTTTTTTAATGTTTTGTTCGAAATTCGAACAAAACATTCGAAATAGAAAGCCACTTTCAACCACTTTCAGCCTCATATCTCCCACACCCTTATAGCTATCGAGACGCAGGTGCACGAATGGAGACTTGAGCTACTACCACATACAAACACCATTCACGTGCGATGTGTAGTTTTTGTGGAAAAGTGAAATATAGGGACATACATGTCCATTTTTATATATATAGATATATATATATTTTTTTTTTGTAAGAGGCAGTTTCAGTTACAGTCATAGACCTCTTTCCACTCAAAGAACATTCAAGAGATCTAGATTATGTAGTTAATACATTTTAACTTGTTCCCTACCTAGTGGCAGGGACATTCATATATTGGGTCACATGCCTCTCCTTTGTCATTGAGTTGTCCTTTTCTTAATCTCTAAGGGAGCTCTAAAGTTTCATTTTATTTTTAAATTAGTTACTTATTTTTATCACAGAAAACATTTTTAATGATAAAAAAATAAAGATATTTGTTATTAACCGAAAATTTGTTCTAGTGAGTCATGATTGTTTGGTCAAGTACCAAGCTACCACTGTATTTGATCAATGTGATTTTAACATATGCAGTAGCATATGTTATTTGATCAATGTGATTTTATTTGATCAATGTGATTTATGTGATTTATATGTATTTGATCAATGTGATTTTAACATATGCAGTAGCATATGTTATTTGATCTGTGATTTTATTTGATCAATGTGATTTATGTGATTTATATGTATTTGATCAATGTGATTTTAACATATGCAGTAGCATATGTTATTTGATCAATGATTTTTAATTTGATCAATGTGATTTATGTGATTTATATGTATTTGATCAATGTGATTTTAACATATGCAGTAGCATATGTTAAAATCACATTGATTTTACAAACACTATATCATGTATGTATGTATGATGCCCTTTTTTTATAGCTTGTGACTCCCTTTTTTTCATAGTCTGTGGGTGCCATTATCTAGTAGGCTTATAAATTTGCATGTTCAATGTTATCTATATTAACTTTATTCTGTGTGTTATATTTGGGAAGTGCTAATTTTTATACAGTAGACCCCCCTATAAAACAGGTTCATATAGTTTGGATTCCTATATAACGGCAAAAAAAACGTATTCGTATAAATACACTAAAAGAGACTTGTATAATTCAGTAAAATGTCATTGCCAACTCGTGTCACGACAGGATTGGTCGAATCTAGACCAATAGCAGATATACTGAAATAACTACTTAATATCCAAAAAACAAACCCTTGAATAATTACTGAAATTAGAAGTATGCATAAATGAAACATTTTTCAAGACTTTTCAGNATATCTTAAAAATAATAAATTATATCCTGGGATTTCCTGGGATCCAGTTCACTTTTTTCTAGGAATCCTGGGACAAGCAAAAGACTGGGAAATGAGAAACCCTAGTCAGGATTGAGAAGTTTGTCCGCTATTTAGAGGTACATGCTAGTAACCATATTGTATTTTAACCTCGTAATTATAAAGTGAAGAATATGGTGGATTATGAAAACATCAAATTTGTGTTAAGAATATGAAAATATAAAAAAGTACATGTAGCATAAATAATTAAAATTCTGCATATAGTATATTATTTATCTTTTCAGCTGTAAAAATCACATTTTAATTGAATTCTAAATAGCAAACAGATAGTATAGGATACTTTAATTAAATGGAGGATAAAAATTACAACAAAATGTAACTGTTGATTAATTATTAATTCATCAAAAATGATTTGAACAGAATTAACAAAAAGAAGAAAAAAAAAAAAAAATGTTATTACGAACAGAAGGGTGGACAAAGGTCAGTTTAGACAATGAGCATTCGAATGCCAAGTTATGAAGGCAATTTACTAGCCACTTCAAGGAGTAAGAAATGTATTTGGTATTCTTGTATTTATAATGTCATTTATGATCTAAACGACTAATAAAAATCAATATAGTGATTTGTCTTCTTTGTAGTTATCGAGTAGGTGTAATTTTTTAAACATTTTTGCTTTCCCCAATAAATGATTTATTAAAAATTACTTTAGCCACTACAAAGCTGTTAAGATCATAAATGATGTCATAAATGCAAGAATACCAAATATCTTCCTACAGTTTAAAGTGGTTGGCAAATTGCCTTCATAACACAATCTTTGAACTTTTATCAAAAAACACTGTTGTCTTAACCTTAAAACTGTTTATTTTTCATTACTATTATACTACAGTTTTTGTCGAATGAATGAATAACTTTGGAAAAGTTTATGGTTTCTTGATACCATAAGTTTAATTCCAACAGTAAGACAGAAGTTTAATAATGTTAATATGCATGATGATAAACAGTGATTGACAACTTAGCCAAATTAGTCTTCTCTAACAGATAATGAATATTGTTCTAATTTTTACAACTTATCCTCCTCCCTTATTCTTATTTTAAGCCAGTCTTTATTTGATGCCTATGGTCAAAATTCGTTATCTGAAAGAGTATTTGAACTGATTCTTTGTTTTAGTTTTAAAATATTTCATATGTAATTAATTCTTTTGGAATATTGAAGGTGGGACTTTGTGTTTTCATAAGGTAGTATGGACAATGGTTATGCTATTCAATGTGTCTGCTATTTAGAGATAAATATAATAGATGTCCTTTTGTACTTAAATTGTCTACAAGGACTTATTTATTACTAGGACTTATTATATCGGTGACTAGTTCTGCAAATTCAGAAAAAACAGTCTTTATTTTTCACCTGTTTTTTCTTAATTGTTTTCTTAATTTGCAGAACTAGTCACCAGTATAATAAGTCCTAGTAATAAATAAGTCCTTGTAGACAATTTAAGTACAAAACTATAAGATAAGAACACAAAGGCATAAAATTTGATAATAGATGTCCTATTTGAAGGGTATGGGGATTGTAAAAATGTCCATTAAGTAGAGGTATCTGCTATTTGGGAGTGTCTGTTAATGGAAGTTTCATGGTATATCTATTTAATATTAAAAAAGTAATAAAGTAACATTTTAACGAAGTTACTTTGTAGAATGTTATTCATAGGATAAAAATGAGAATGATTCATATCCAGAACTTTTATTTTTACATCAAAATTTTAAAATATATTAAATACGAATAATATAAATTAACAGTTTTGATTGAAAAACCTTAAATAGCAATATTTTAAAAGTTAGATTAAATTTTATCTTTTATAAAACTTTCAATATGAAGAAAACAAAAATATTAAAAAAAATCATTGTTTAATAAGGAAGTAATATTACAAATAAATATATTTGTAATTTCATTATTATATCTAAATGTTTAACATAATATTAATAAACTATTTTAAACATATTAAACAGAACTACTTCACCATTTTGAGAATTAAATAGTCTTGTTATCTATCTTTTATTGAATACTATTAATTTTTTCATAGAGCTTTTGAATGTGAAGCTATAAATTCAAAAATATTAATATTTTAACTTATTTAACAAAATTAATCATTTCTTCTTTGATTTTCAGAAAATAGTCTTTTTATTGATATTACTACAATTAAATTCATTCAATTAATGTCCAATGAAATTTCTAATTAATAAATTAATTTTATAGATGTTTAAATAATATCTATATTATTTTTTAATATTATAATCTTTATAAAAATGATTGTTATATAATGACTTTTAATATTTTATTTTCTCTGAATTAACAATCTAACACGTTAAATATTTGTAATATGCAGTAGATGAATGTTTCAATTCAATTTTTTTTCTTATGTCTACTTATGTTATAAATATTTATAACATCCTTTGGAATAAATGTCCTATGTTATTTTATGTTGATTTTTGATATATTGTATATATATAGGGCAATGCCACCAGTAGTCAACTATTTTATGCTGTTCTGGACTTGATATTTTTTATTACAATGCATAGCAACATAAAAATAACATTTGATGGCATGATCATTTATGGCAGTTGACAACTGGGTTTTCCTTCATTGAGAGCCTCACAAATGTGGCAACTGTGAAAGAATAAGCAAGTCAATAATAAGCATTTTATAGAGAACATGCACCTGAAACACACAGCCTTTATTATCTTCTAAAGACTTGACAATGACTCACTA